TAACTGAAGATTCTCATCAACTTCCTTCGATTTTTGAAGCTCTTCTTCAACTTCCTTCAATTTATTTTCCTCTTGAAGCTTTGAAATAATTGAACAGTTGACCAATTCATCATCTGAAGATGAGCTTGAATCATCGGAATCGTTAGAGTAGTAGAATCCATATAAAGCATTCCTAAAATCATTCGCAAAATTTCCCCTGAATGTATTTTTTCAATCTCAAGACTATATTTATTTATTTTTTCTCTTCTCATATAAGCATTTAAACAAGAATTCCTATTTATTTTACACACACAAAAATTAAAAAAAACTAAAAAAAAACAATCTGCCTATTGAAATTTGTCAGGCTTATTGTTGTAACAAACTTGTTGTCTTCCTATGAATTTATTTTAGGGTAAACTATACCAATGGTACTAATGTTTCAGTAAGTTTTTGATTCCCGCACTGAAATTTCTAAAGTATTGATCATTAGTGTTATCGATTTGTAACAAAATAATCACTAACTTTATTATTTTGTAACAAAAATGATCATTCCACCGTCATCCCGATAAATTCATGACGTGTCAAAGGTAATAAAAATAAAAATATTTAGTTTTACCCCTAAAGTATTGTTAAAACATCAAATAGGTCCTTAAAAATGATTTTATATCTAATTTATCTCCAAAAGCTTTCTAATTTTTTTTCTTAACACTTCACCACCTCCACTATATTCGAACCACCTCAACATTAACAAATAAATTCGGCTGTCAATCGAACACTTATTTTAAAATTAATTAATTTTATTCGTCCGAACCTTTGTCCTCGACTCAAGGATGAGTTGGTGAAGGATACTGTGACGGAGCTCTCTTGTAAATACTCTCACACATGCTGCATGCAAGTACCATGGTGTATATAATTTTTTTATATATATCTAATAATCATATTTTTTTCATTGGCTTGTTGTTGTAGCAACTTTTTTTTTGTCATTTTCTTATCATTGTAGCTATTTTTTAATGCAAATAGAAGCAATTAGTTTTATTTAAAAATATATATTCAAAATTATAATAAAAATTTACAACCATGAACCTAAACTAGACATATAATTATGGCTCATTCTTATAATCTTTGACATAAAAATTAGACACTAAAATCATACAACCATACAAAGAAAAGATTAAAAACTCATCCAAACACTCGAACAAAAAATAGATACAAATACAACTTATCGCATCAGTAAAAGAACCATATAAGGGATCAAACTATTGAAAAACCATCGAAAATTGCGAATCAGAGTTGAACGTCATGAGAAAACTATCCTTGAATGCAAACTGTATATTCAAATCCAATCTAAGGATCCAAAGCAGGGAAGATTAGTAGAATAACAAATAAAAGATATATTGATCAGTCGAGACTACATCAAATCCAACTCCAAGAAAATTAAACAAAAAGAACAACCAAACAATTGATAAACAAGACCGAAAATGTGAAAAAAGACAAAGGAAAGTATGTCATAAAGGCATAATTACTAAAAATAAAGAAACATAAGAATAAAGATGCGATATAAAAATAAAGACTACCAATGATCAATGACAAACATCAGTTTCAGTGTTGTCGCCTGCCAAACTGGTGTATCTAACTTTTTTTGTCTTAATGTAAACTTATTTTATGTATAAATTTAGCTTTTTAACATGGTTATATTTTATAATAATTTGAAAATTATTACTTGACCAGAATTTATATAAAACAATAGGAGAAAAATTTATCAATATTGGAATCCAATATTTGTTTCTTTTCATTTTATTAAGCTTAATATGAAAAAATAATTAAAATTATATTTTTATTTAAGTATTTAAACTTTTTTAAATCAATTTAAATGTCTAGTGTTATTATTTAGGTGTCTCATTCCTCCCGGTCGTTAAAAATTTCATTACTAATATTTTTCGTATTTTTAATATTTTTAAATTTGTATTTAAAATAAAATAAAAGCTTAAAATTAGACTTTTTAATAAAAAAATAAAAACTTTGAAAACTCTAATACTTTGAAAACTCTAATTCCAAATCCTTTTACCTACATCAGACGTCATTCTTTGCCACCGTTTCCGTTTCCGTCGACAAACAACCATTCAACCAAATCTCCAATTTCGTTGTCATTGCTATAGAATGAACATCCATTTATGGGAATCACAAATTTTAAATGATAAAAAAATTAAATTTGATGTATTGCCAGTATATGAGTCTCATATAGTGCGAGTGAATCACAACATGCTACATTATTAATGAATAATATCATTTTTTTAGATCTCCTAAATAAACATCCTTAAGCATAAATCAAACGACTTCAATGGTTAAAGGAATAACTGTAATTCCTAGAGGTCTCAAATTCGAATACCAACGATTGCAGGGTATTTAAACATTCATTGTCAAATTATAAGAGAAAGAGATTCAAAGGAAACAAGACAAAACCATCTCTATAAGCACACAAAGAAGCTCATGTAAATAACTAAAGATATGCGTAAGTCTATTGCAGAAAAAAGAGAACAATTTCCAAAAATATACCACAAAGGAAACAATACCAAACCATTGACACTGTTTCATTGGATCTAAAGTACAGACATGATCATAACTATAACGATAACAATAGTTCATGTATTCGACTTCAAATTACATTCAACTATTGGGGACGTTGAGCTATCTGAAACAAATTCAAGTATGAAAAGCACTCCGTGTTGCATATATATGCACCTGTAAATCATGATATGTAGGTCAATAGAACTGCAGATAAGAGTTAACAACTAAGCAAATCCATACGAGGTAGTTCCACGCATCCACTGAAACAACAAAAAGCAAACAGAAACCTAAACAATTTAACATCTAGGACATGCATATATAATCCAAATAATAACAACGTTAATTGAGAACATCACTAGACAATATAGTTGACATGAAGTGCATAGGAAGAGACCAACCCCCATTAATTCTTACCTCTTTTGTTGTAGCTCCCCATCCATCTTAGTGTTCTATATCAATTTGATGCACCTCCGGCTGGCCAACGTATTATCCGTTCCTCGTGCTCTTGTCTTCCATTTATTGGAACCAAGCTCTCAACATAAGCAATAATCTACATTGTTTCTCGATAAGCATGGATACCGAGTTTTTTAAGCTCTCGTGTGGAGGGGTCAAACAACACCAATTCATGATCAGAGCTCTCAAGAAACAATTTGGCATTTTTACAAAACCCCAAAGGCCTATGAACTCCAGGAACAGATTCAACACTGAATTGTTTAGTCCATGATCCATTCATAACCCATAAATCAAAAGACTTATCAGTTCCTTCCCTCGGGTAAAAATAGCACCAACTAGTCCATTGAAGTTCAAAATATGGAAATAATATTGTGCTAGAGTCCCACCAAATTTAGGCAATGGTAATGTTGAAAACTTTTCATTATCCGTATCAAATGAAAGAATAAGGTGATCAGAATCCCCAACTGTCTGCCAATAATAAAACCCATTTATGTAATTATTAAACAAAGGAGAACCATCTATATTGTACAGGGACGACAGAGGAAGGGCGTTTCAAGTACCCGAAATGTCCATGGCACTAGGACGGTACGGGACGGCTAGGGTACGTACCGAGGACGTACCACGGAGGTAGGGTACGGCCGAACAATACGGAGACGTTTTGGTGCTCACTGGGGACATTTCGGTGCTCGTTGGGTATGTTTCACTCGTTTCTCACATGACTCCTCAATCTCCATTGCCATCTATATATATTGGCATAGGCTTTCCCTCTCGAATCAGATCAGTAATCCTCCAACAATTAAACTGCAAGAAGGTTAAAAACTCTATTTCTCTATTCGTTTTTCCTTCTTTGCAGTGAAAATGGCAGAGCCTGTAACAGCAACAAAAGAAACAGCACCAGCAGTGGCTCTGCTGAAAGATGAGCTTGACATCGTTATACCAATCATAAGGAACTTGGACTTTCTTGAGATGTGGAGGCCTTTCTTCCAGCCTTACCATCTCATCATCGTTCTAGATGGTGATCCTTCCAAGACCATCAAGGTCCCCGAGGGATTTGACTACGAGCTTTACAACAGGAATGAAATCAATAGGATCCTCGGTCCTAAGGCTTCCCGCATATCCTTCTAGGACTCTGCTTGCCGTTGCTTTGGTTACATGGTCTCCAAGAAGAAGTATATTTTCACCATTGATGATGATTGCTGTGTAAGTTCCCTTCTATTTTAGTCGATTTTTTGGATCTCTACATTGATTTGAATTCTTGTGGTGTTTTTGTAGTGGGTTTCTGTTATTTTGGTCAAAACAAAAGTTCTATGCTTTTATTGTTTTGATGTGAGATTTGGATTAACTCATTTGTTGAATCTCTTCTGTGCCCTTCATTATGGTGTCTACAAAGTTACCTTCACATGGAGTGCACTTTTGGAAGCTTTGCACGTTCCTAAATCATGAAAATATACCTTACAATTATTAAGGGAGTGCTTGCATTGTGATGTACAACTATGGAATTTTAAAATCTTGGATGTTATATATTCATGTTACATGATGAACATCAATCTGCAAGTCAAGATCTGAGATTTGGGTCTTGTTTTTATTGTTGTTAGGTTGCTAAGGACCCATCTAGCAAAGCGATCAATGCACTCGAGCAACACATTAAGAACATGTTATCCCCGTTCACTCCCTTCATCTTCAACACCCTGTACGACCCGTATAGGGAGGGTGCAGACTTTGTCCGTGGATACCCCTTCAGCCTCCGTGAGGGTGTTCCGACCGCTGTCTCTCATGGTCTTTGGCTAAACATCCCGGATTATGATGCACTAACCCAACTAAATTTAATATTGTGGTTTGAGTCTTGATATTTGACTTTATTTATGATTTTTTACATCTATTTATAATTTTAAAATTATTTTATATGATGTACCCTTACCGTTCCCGTACCCTGTAATTTTAGAAATTGTCGTTTCCTGTCCCAGTCTCCGTATCCGTCCCCGTATCCGTGCAACATAGAGAACCATAAACATGAACCCCAGGAACCGAAATTTCCTTCTATGGATCACTTTTAAGGGAATATAACTCAACTTGGTGGATCCAATCTGCCATCAACCCTTCATCTAGATTCTCTTCAAAGTAATTAGTAATAAATCTAACAACTTTGTAGTCATCAGTTTGAGAATTATACCCAAAACCAAGGCAGCCAAAATTAGTGGAATCTACTGTAGGAGGGTGATGGACTGTGGATTGAGGAAGGATTTTGAACTCTGGTAGATGGGTTCCAAAGGGCAGCCTTGCCAGCATCATGTAAACATAAGATCCTATTACAAGGACCATCAACTATAGGTGCATACCAATAATTCTGGAAAAGGGTAAGTGAATATTGTGTTCCACTCTAAAGTTTTGGCCTTTCTCGGTCGACAGTTGAGAGAAATAATAGATGTCATCATGGGTGTTACTGTGATAGCGTTTGAGGAGGAGATTGAGGTTTTTGTTTTTGAGGTTGTTCTACTGATGTTTGGCGATGAAATGAGGGGTTTGAAAGGATGAAGCCCAAGTCTTGCAAACGCACTTGAAACGTGTCAAAGATTTAATGGGAAGCTTCAATAGGATCTCCAACACCAACATCTCTGGTAACTCGTTTCTAGTTTGCTCAATCCTTGCATCTTCTTCCTTCCTTTTTTTACCTTCTATGTTTCCTCTGTTTTTGTTTTTTTTTTTGTTCAAAGATTTTATCTTGGGGAAGATAAATTAGGACTTAAATGAAAGAAAACAAGGAAGACGACAAATCACACGATTTTGTTTATTTGTTTAACAAGAAAAAGACATTGGGAGCTTGTTAAAGATGTGGAAGGACAAATCATAATGTTCTTGCAAAAAGAAAAACTAATTTAATCTTAGATTTACATTATTAAAAATGAATAATTATTGGCTTAATAAACTATCAATTATATATAGAAATGTATTGACTTGATTTAAAACAGGCTGAATGCAATTATACTATTAAATTAAATGTTAAATTTGTTAAAAAAATAATATGAATGCATATTCGGAGGGCATTTCATAATTCGGAGGTCTCCTACGGAAGCTGCTCTCAACATGGTGTTTGGGGTAGCCTACTATCTTACCTCTCCCTTACCCCATACATATGGGGAAAAAGGGACAACCACTTTTTTTAAAGAAAATTTTAAGGAAATTTTGGGATTTTATAATTTTATTGAAGGTTTATAAATTTAATATGTATTATGTGCGTCATATCATGCTCTAAGAGTGTCGTCATTTTTTTGTTTTGTTTTTTTGGTAACATAAAAACAGATTGAGTAATTTGTACCAATATTGAAACGTTTAGTGTTAAATAAAAACTAAGTACCAAAGTGATAATAAAATACAACTTTAAGGATCAAAATAGCATTTACCTTTTCTTTAAAAAATATGCATTTTTCTGATAGATATAATGTATAAATAATAACTAAATTATGTTAAAATAATATTTTTACTACTAAGCTTTCAAATTTATAAAATAGTCATTAAACTTTCGATTCAATTACAAAATGATCACTGCATCGTTGTTAATTGTCGTCAAAGGTATGACATCGGATGTTAAATTAATGAGAAACATCTCATTTGGCCTCTCAATTGTAACTAAAGTTTTATCTTGATATCTTTTTCAATATTTATAAGAAATAATTCGAACAAATTTTTAAAACAAATCAAAAAATTTTACTATACCTGCATGGATGCTGAGCATAGTAAAGAGTATGACCATTTGCATTGTTCCAGTTCTTATATGCATCTGCAGGATCATAAGATTCTATTTTATGCAGATTCAAAATGCACGAAAACACAATGACCGAATTGAATAAAAATAAATCTAACATAAAAATTAATTTTATATTACTGTAAATGTATTAGAAACTCTATGAATTACCCGTCCAGCTCAGTTGGTCGAGCGCAAGGCTCTTAACCTTGTGTTCGTAGGATCGAGTCCCACGATGGGCAATTCATAATTTTGACTGTCGGAGGTCTCCCACGGAAGTTGCTCTCAATCTGGCATTGTGGCCAGCCTATTATCTTACCTCCCCCTTATCCCATTATATATGGGAATAGGGTCAGCTAATATTTTATTAGTAACTTTGTATAAGAACACACAAAGGCACAAGGAATTATTATATATAACTCTAGTGCAGAAGAAGAAACAATCTCCAGAAACATTCCACGAAGGAAACAAATTGAAATCACTTCAAGAATAATGTCTAACCCAATTACCTCTGTTAATACCCTCAATAACGATTTGGTTCAGATAAGAGCAGCATAATACAACTACAATCCAAACTATCAGCAACCATAGTTGAAGTGAGAAACCAACTTGCATTTATATAACACAATGGCAACATGTAAGCAGTTGGTTGAAGAAAGAGGCAGGAAAAACATAGACAAGCAGCGGTTGCAGGTAGTTTGAGTTTCGTTTTTACAAGACAAGACATGATCATAATAACAACGATAATAATAATAGTTCCCATATTCAACTTCAAATTACATTCAAGCTACTGGAGACATTAAGATCTCTAAAGCACAATTCAAGTAGCAAAAGCACTCCATGCGCAACATGTATATGCACACCTACACATCATGATGTGCATGTTGTTAGATCATGAAACAAGAGTTAAAAATAATCGATTCCACAGGAAGAAACGTCATAAATTCATTAAAACAACAAAAACCAAACAGAATTCAACCACGTTTATTTGTATTTACAAGTCAATAGAAGACATATATGGAAAGCCAACAATAGTAGCATTATTGGAAAACCTCATAAGACAATATAGTCGGCATAAATTGCACATAAAGAGAGAAAATCCCATTGAATCTTACCCCTTTTGTTTTAGTTCCCCATCGATGTTCGTGTTCAATATCAAGTTAATGCGTCTTCAGCTGACCGACGTATTATATATTCCTCATGCTATGCTCTTCCATTGACTGAAACCAAGTTCTCAACATAAACAATAATGTAAATGGTCAAATTAGTATGGATGCCAAGATGTTTAAGCTCTCATTTCGAGGGTCGAATAACTCTAGTTCATGATCAGGGTCTCAAGAAACAATTCACCATTTTTCCAAAACCTCAATGGTCTCTTAACTCCAGAAACAGATTCAATACTCAATTGTTTAGTCCATGATCCATTCATAACCCATAAATCAAAAGACTTGTCGGTACCTAGCAATGAATAAACAATAACACCAAGCAATCCCTTAAACTCCAAAACTTAACCAACAAAAAACCTACCAAATTCAGGCAATGGTAAAGTTGAAAACTTTTCATTAACCATGCCAAATGAAAGGAGAAGGTAATCAAAATTCCCATTTTCTTGCCAATAATAAAACCCATTTATATAAATATTGTACTCAGGAGGACCATCATAAGGATAAACATCATGAGCTGAAATTTCCTTCCATGAATCACTTTTAAGTGAATACAACTCAACATGGTGATTCCAATCAGGAATTCTGCTTACATCTTCCTTGTGTTCAAAATAATTAGTAACAAATCTCACTACTTTATAGTCATTAGTTTGAGAATCAAACCCAAAACCAAGGCAATCAAAACTAGTGAAATCTGCTAAAGGAGGGCGAGAGACCGAGGATTGAGGAAGAATTTTGTTGAAGAATCGGGCAAAGTAAACGAAAGAACACAAGAATTTTAACGAGGTTCGGCAATGTGCGTATGTCCTTTGTGTCTAGACGGGGCTAGAAGTTTTATTCCATATCTCATAGGTTCGACAATGTGCTTACGTCCTCACTCTGCTCCATCCCCTGTCCTCTTTACCGGTATATTTATGAGCCATACCTTACAAATTTTGAACTCTCTAGTTGATGGACTCCAAAGGGAAACCTTATCATCCCTTCGTAAACACACCAATCCATTACAAGGTCCAGAAACTGCAGTACCAGACATACAATGCTCGAAAAAGGGTAAGTGAATGTTGTGTTTAACTGTAAAGTTTAGGCCTTTCTTGATGGAAAGTTGAGAGAAATACTGGGAGACATGGGTTTGGAACTAACAACGTTTGAGGAGGAGATTAAGGTTGTTTTTTCTAAGGTTGTTTTGGTGATGTTTGGAAATGAAATGATGGGTTCGAAAAGATGAAGACCATGGCTTGCAGACCCACCTGAAACTCATCAAGGATTTAACAGGAATATTTGAGAGAATGTCCAAAACCACCATTTCCGGTACCTCGATTCTAGTTCTGCAACTCCCTTGCATTCTCTCTATATGTGTTTATCGATGATTGTATTTGGGGAACTAATAAATCCAATGAAAGTGATTAACAAGAATTTTTCTTATTTTCTATTTTGCATGACGAGAAGAAAAGAGACAACGACAATATGCAAAGATTAACAATTAAATGTTCTTGGACTACACTGATGGGCCAGGCCGAGCCCTCTACTTCTTTTCTAAACCCATAGCTTATCCTAAATCAAATTGAATAAAGTATATAGATGATTTTCAACTATAACATTGTTATATTGAGTCTCATGATTATTAAAAATTATGAAATTATTATTTGATTATGAGATGTTGTTTTATTGAGTCATTCAACTATTAAAAGTTATAAAATGATCACTCGACTATTCATATATTTCAAACTCGTCTTTTTCTATTAAAAATTGAAGTCATTCTAAGTTGGGCATTAACTCACTGACTATGGTATAATAAAATCTAATTCCAAAATCTCAAACTGTTGAAAACATTTTGATATTTCGATATAACAAATTAATTTAAATGAATTTTAAGATTTTACAAATGATTTTCTTAGTATATTCGATTAAATTAATCAAATATCAAATTATTACTCCAAGTTTTTCAAGATCAAATTCAAACCTTACTAAATGTGTAAAATTGTGTTTTATACTTAATATATTTTTGAAACAATTTTTCACAAAATATTTTGAACCAAAATCAAGCCTTAAATTCAATTATTCAAAGCCATGCTCTGATGCATCAAACCATGCATCGATGCACTAATGAATTAATTGAACATCGAATGCATTTGATGCATCGATGCACATACCATGCATCGATGCACTCAGGCTTTTTCAAAACATCGAATGCATTTTATGCATCGATGAACTCTTAGTGCACCGATGCACTAAGAGTCCAACAGTCAAAATATTTGAATTTTACACTTGATGCACCGAGGCACCTAGGGTATGCATCGATGCATGAGACGCTCCCAACTGAATTTATTAATTGTTTTCACACTTAAACGGCTCTATTGACTTCACTAATCATCCCCAATATTCAGAATCAATTGAAGGTATATTTAAATAAGCTTAGAAGCCATTGATCAATAACAAGAAACAATAAGCAACTAGAATCAAGAGAGAATCAAAGAGAAAGCATCAAACCTTAAGTTTGAACATTTTCAAGCCTATTTCATTCAATATTCATTTTTGCTTTCAAGAACACTTATTGTGCTCAATTGTATTATTCTTGAGTGTTCTTTCTTTGTTCTAGAATTGTGCAAACAATTTACCTTGTGAGGATTTCCTTGTAAGTTTCCAAATTTGTAATCTTCTCTTTGAGAAATAGTGTTCTCAAGAATTGGGGTATATTCTTGAGGGTGTTGTAAGGTTATCTCTTTGGCCTCAAAAGAAATAACAAATTAGTGAATTTGTTGGAAAATACTTAGTGTGGATAGCTAAGGTAGTGGACGTAGACTTTGGTTGATAAAGTCAAACCACTCTAAATCGTTGTGCAAATCTTTTCAATTTTCTACAAAAGCTTCCACTAAAATTTTAATTGCCAATTCACCCCCTCTTGGCAGATTCCGTCAATCGATTAACTCAATAATTGGTATCAGAGCCTAACTCATTTGAAGGTTTAATCGCCTCTTGAGTCGATTCGGGAAGAGTTACATCGATAATCAAAGTCATCAATGGCCTCCGCTTCAAACTTCGACTACGGTCTCAATTTGATGCCCGTCAACAAGCCTCCTTTCTTCAATGGAGCTAACTATGCCTATTGGAAGAATATGATGATGTACTTTATTCAAGAAAGTGACATGGGAGCATAGAATTCCATAGAAGAAGGATACATCAAGCCTCTCACTCATCCAAGGTTGTGGAGTGAAGGAGAGACAAGAATGTTCCAGCTCAAATCCAAAGCCATTCATATCATATTTTGTGCTCTTGGACCAGATGAATACGGAAGAGTTTCATCTTGTAAAACTGCCAAAGAAATATGGGACAAGATTCAAGTCACTCATGAAGGTACCGATGAGGTAAAAAATCTAAAATTAGTATTCTAACGCATAGCTATGAAAATTTCAGGATGAAACCAAATGAAGATATCAAAGCTATGACGGATAGATTCTCAATGATTGTCAATGGTCTCAAATCATATGGAGAGATGATTTCAAATGAAAAGCTTGTGAGGAAGTTAGTTTACTCCCTTCCAAAATCATGGCAATCAAAGAAGACGGTAATCATCGAGTCTAAGGACCTAACGTCCTTAACTCTTGAAGAGCTAATTGGTTCCCTCCTCACTCATGAAATGATGCTTGAAGATGAGGTGAACCTTGATAAGATTGAAGAGACACCAAAGGAGAATGAGAAGAAGAAAAACATTGGAGTTGCTCTCAAATCCACAAAAGATGAGAGTGATTCGGATGAAGATGACGATAACGAGGAAATGGTATTGTTTGCCAAACGGTTCAGAAAAATGATGAGACCTTACCGAGGGAGAAAATTCAAACGAAATGAAGGCCTTAAAAATGAATCAAAAGAAAAGGACCCAATCATTTTCTATGAATACAAAAAGCCGCAGCATGTCAAATATGATTGCCCACAATTGAAGAGAAATGGTCAATCAAAGAATAAGCACAAGGCTCATGTGGCTACATGGAGCGATGAAGAAGGTTCCGATGAAGAGGAACAAGAAGTAGCAAACTTGTGCTTGATGACATTCGGGAAAGATTCTAAGGTAACCTCTAACTCATCTAATTTTGATGATTTATCCTATGATGAGTTATTAGAGGAATATAATGGGTTGGCTTCAGATTATGAGAAATTGTTTTTAAAATATAAAAATGATGTTTCAAAATTGAAAAATGAAAATAAACTCATATCCAAAACCAACAACGATCTTGAAAGTAAAATCAAAGATTTGCAGTTTGAAAAGAAAATTTTGGATTTGCAAAATTTACTTTCAAAGGTCAATGATGATCATCAAAAGAAAATTGATGATCTTAAAGCTTCTTTTGATAAAGTTGGAACAAAACGTTTTGAAAATAGAGAAAATTCAAAATCCAACTTTGTTAGAAAAAGTTTTAAAAACTACAATCATAGAGGTCCCCAAAGAACCTCTAATGGAAAAATTGTTAGAAGTATATGGGTTCCTAAAGAGCTCATTACTACTAAAGATAAGGATATCCTACACAAATGGATACCTAAGGGGACTACGATGTTGGAAACTAATGAATATGGACCCAAAAGAATTTGGGTACCAAAAAATTAGAAATTAATCTATGTTTGTAGGAAAAGGAGCATTGCTACAAGGCACGAGAAACAAATTCAAACTCATGGTACCTTGATAGTGGATGCTCAAGACACATGACCGGAGACAAAAGCCGGTTCATTGAGCTTAACGCCAAAAATGGAGGAGAAGTAACTTTTGGTGATGATTCAAAAGGTTACATTGAAGGTATAAGCACTATAGGTAATACCTCTTCCATACAAATTAAGAATGTTTTATATGTGAATGGATTAAAACATAATCTATTGAGTATTAGTCAATTTTGTGATAAGGGATTCAATGTCATATTTGATATTAATGGTTGTAAAGTCATTGACATTGCATCTAATCGAATTATGCTTGTTGGTCATAGAATAGGAAACATTTACATGGTGCATTTAGATTCCATAGATATGACTAATTTATGCCTTGTTGCAAAAGATGAGCATGATAGTTGGTTATGGCATAGGAGACTAGAACATGCTAGCATGAGTGTTTTACAACGGCTAATTCAAGGAGACTTAGTAAGAGGGCTGCCTAAACTGAAATTTGATAATGATAAAATCTGTGATGCTTGTGCTAAAGGAAAAAAAAAAGCGAATTTCTTTTAAATCCATTAATGACGTATCAACTAGTAGAGTGTTACAATTGATCCATATAGATCTTTTTGGGCCAACTAGGACTACTAGGCTGGGTGGAAAACAATATGCTTTTGTCTTGGTAGATGACTATTCTATATATACTTGGGTTCTATTTTTAAGTACTAAAGATGAAGCATTAGAACATTTCATCATATTTTCAAAAATAATCCAAAACGATAAAGGTTACTCTATAACTAGTGTTAGGAGTGATCATGTCACTGAATTTGAAAATCTTGGATTTAATGAGTTTTGTAATTCTAATGGTATTAGTCATAATTTTTCAGCACCTAGAACCCCTCAACAAAATGGAGTTGTTGAGAGAAAAATCAAACTTTAGAAGAAATGGCTAGAACCATGCTTTGTGAAAATAATTTACCAAAATATTTTTGGGCGGAAGCCACAAATACCGCTTGTTATGTTGTAAATCAAGTAATGATTAGGCCAATTTTAAAGAAGACTCCATATGAATTTTTCAAAAATAAAAAGCCTAACATTAGCTATTTTCATCATTTTGGATGTAAATGTTTTTGTTTTGAACAAGGGTAAAGAAAACCTTGGCAAATTTGATGCTAAAAGTGATGAAGGAATTTTTCTGGGTTATTCCTTAAATTCTAAAGCTTATCGAGTATTTAATAAAAGAACTTTAGTTGTAGAAGAGTCTATAAATGTTGTTTTCGATGATAATCCCCTTCCGAGGAAGGATTCTTGTGTGAATGATGATGTAGCCATTATAAATACAAATGACGTTAGACATGACGTTGGAGAAACACCATCAAAGGAAGAAACAAAAGATGAGGTAACTCATGATCTTCTCGAGAATCCAACCATTGAAGAAAGGGAAGTATCTTATCCAAGAGAGTACAACTATGTCAAGGATGGTGAAATCATAGGTGATCCATCCAAAGGGGCAACAACTCGATTTTCTCTTAGAAATATTTGTAATTATGTTGCATTTATCTCATGCATAGAGCCTAAGAATATTAAAGAAGCATTAAATGATGAACATTGGATTATGGCTATGCAAGAAGAGTTAAATCAATTTGAGAGAAGTAAAGTTTGGACATTAGTTGAAAGGCCTAGTAATAAATCTACTGTAGGTACTAGATGGGTATTTAGGAATAAGCTTGATGAGAGTGGTAATATAGCGAGAAACAAGGCTAGACTTGTTACTCGAGGGTATACTCAAGAAGAGGGCATAGACTATGATGAAACATATGCTCCCGTAGCTAGGATGGAAGCAATTAGAATATTATTAGCATTTGCATGCTTTCATGAATTTAAATTATATCAAATAGATGTTAAAAGTGCATTTTTAAATGGTTTTATAAAAGAAGAAGTGTATGTGGAACAACCTCCAGGTTTTGAAGATTCAAAATTTCCAAATCATGTTCTTAAATTAACAAAACCACTTTATGGTTTAAAATAAGCTCCAAGAGCTTGGTATGAAAGATTGTAATTGTTTTTTAATTGAAAAAGGTTTTTCAAAAGGAAAGGTTGACACTAAATTGTTTTTAAAATATAAAGGTAAATATTTATTAGTAGTTCAAATTTATGTTGATGATATCATATTTGGTTCTACTAATGATGTTCTTTGCCAAGAATTTTCTAAGCTAATGCAAAGTGAATTCAAAATGAGCATGATGGGGGAGCTCTCATTTTTCTTGGGACTCCAAATCAAGCAAAGAAAAGATGGCATCTTCATCAATCAAGCTAAGTACGTCAAAGATATGCTCAAGAAGTTTGGACTGGAAAATGGCAAACCTCATGACACTCCAATGAGCTCTTCAATAAACCTTGACTTAGATGAAGGAGGTAAATGTGTAGATGTTAAATTATATAGGTCAATGATTGGATCTTTACTTTATCTAACTGCAAGTAGACCGGTCATTATGTTCAGTGTTTGCTTATGTGGTAGATTTCAATCATGCCCTAAGGAATCACATTTACTAGCTGTTAAGAGAATCTTTAGATACCTTAAGGACACTCCTAGTTTAGGACTTTGATATCCTAGAGACTCTAGCTTTAGCTTGCATGATTTTTCTGATGCGGATTATGGAGGATGCAAATTAGATAGGAAAAGCACCTCCGGTACTTGCCAATTCCTTGGAAATATGTTGATTTCTTGGTTTTCAAAGAAACAAAATTGTGTTGCATTATCTGCCACTGAAGCGGAATACATTTCAGCCGGTAGTTGTTGTGCACAAGTTTTATGGATGAAACAACAACTTTTTGATTATGGAATTGAAGTAGGTAGTATTCCTATCAAGTGTGATAATACTAATGCTATTTGTCTAACTAAAAATCCCATCCAACACTCTAGAACTAAGCACATTGAAATTAGACATAACTTCATTAGAGATCATGTCACTAAGGAAGATGTAATTCTAGAATTTGTTGATACTTTGCATCAATTAGTGGATATCTTTACAAAGCCTTTAGACAAGGAAATATTTTGGACACTTAGGAGAGAATTAGGTTTGACCAACCTATCTTCACTTAGTGTTTAAAACAATTTTAGCACTTTTAAGAATAAATGAAAAATGCTTATAATAGTAATTTTTGATTACATTCATTGCTATTAGTTAGGGGGAGTTTATGTTGCTTGATGAAAATTAATTTTATGTTCAAATGTTGTTTAAATATTAATTTGATTGATTGAACATGATTAATTTTCAATATATGAGTTGTCAATGCCACTAGAGCTAATTAATTTAGCATTTTGAGTGTTTAAAACGGATTTTTGACATTTTTGTGCTTCATGCACTGATGCACTTAACAATGCATCGATGCATCCCTTTGAATGTGCATCGATTCATCATGTTGATGCACCGATGCACGCCTTGAATGTACATCGATGCACAAGGCCATGCATCGATGCATCCATCGGGTTTTTGGATAAAAACCTTATTTCTTCCTTATTTTCTCAAAAACACTCTTATACTCTCTCTTAGCCGTACGCCTCCTCTTCCTCTCCTACTCTCAAAATTGCTCCAAATCCTTGGTTTTTGATCGGAATCTTCAAGCTTTTCAACTCTTAATCCTGCTTCAATCATTAATTCGTGCAAAACATCAATACATCCCTCTCAATCCGAAATTTCAAGGTAAACTTTTCTAAAAACTCTATTTTATTGATTTTTGATCTTAGGACTAGTTTTAATTAGTTCTAGGATGAATATTATATCAGGCATCGATTGTTTGATGATTACAAACTAGTTTTTACAACTAATTTCATCAAAAACTCACAAATTTTCATTAAATTTATGAATTTTCGAAATAAATAAAAATTCGAAAATCTGAAATAAATTTTTAAATTTGATGTTTTTGATTTAATTATGTTGTTTTCATGAAAACTATACATATTATGATTTTACAAATATTATTTTCAAATAGTTTTCAAAACCTTGCCCATTAGGATTCGGTTTAGAGAACCTTGAATTATTGAGGACTCAAGTGAGTTTTGGGATTGATTATTGTGCATACATGTGTTTCAATTTGCAGGTTATATTCCGTTTTTTGATTTCTAAACAATGTCAAACCCTAAACACCCTAGGACTTCATCGAGTCATTCTCGTTCAAACCAACCTCCAAATCCCATTCCTCCTCCATCAAATAGTCTATTAGGATCTTGTTTTAACATGCCTGAGCATCGAAGAGACGAATTGTACTCTAGGTACATGAATTCTTTTCAATCCTATAGAATTAGGGAAGAACGTATTCCATCTCTACAAGCCATGATAGACTTTAAATTTGAATACCTCTCAATTCTTAGAACATGGAAGTTTGATAAATTGTTTTCTCTTAGACCTGTCGTCTTTCATCAATTAGTCCGCATTTTCTATTCTAATGCTGTCTGTATTCAAAATGAAACTCAATGTGGAACTATAGGAATTAGATCCTACCTTCTAGGACAATATATTCTTGTTGATTCCACAACTATAGCTTCAAAATTTGGGTTAGATGATGATGGTGTATATGATGAAAAAGAAACTGTGGAATATCCATATCTCCCAAACGCTAGTGTTAGTACCCTCTGATCTCATCACGATCGTTTCTTCACTTAATGATCTTGTGGTGGTTTCGACCATCCGCGGGTAGGTACTCCACTTTCGTGCTAGGGATTTATGGTGGATGTATTGTATTAAGAATAAGATCAAAATAAATCTTCCACAGATTATCTTTAGTGTGCTAGTCGATACCGTAAACATTATCCTGTCCAAACACGTTGAAACACTAGTTTATGTTGTCTTCTTAGCAATCTTTTTATCAAACTCGGTCTGGATGTCTCTCTTGACAATCCTATTCCTCTCCAAAACCCAATCAATCTCACATCCTTGAAGAAAGCGGATTGGAAACAAGACGAGGTAACCGATCAATGGGTTTTTAGACCCGTCAAATAAACTTCGGGAGCTAGTTCCTCACGATCTGCTCCTAGCTCATCTCGTGCTCCTCCTCCTCCTCCGGCTCCGGATGCTGACGATGATCCTGAATTTCAATAGCTTATGCAAGACATTGATGATCACATATCCGATGACAAGCCTGCACCGGAACCAGCTCCACAAGAGGATCAAATGTCTCCATATTTTTGATCGGTCTTGGAGACATTTGATCTACGGTATGCTTCCATCGAATCACAATTGACTGCTACTCACGAAGCAGTAAATCAACGCTTAGACACTTTGGAAGCTCGACAGATGGAGTTTCAAAGAGAGATGCTTGCTCGCATGGATGCTCTCTCTCTTGAGATGCAAGCCCGATTTCCTCCGCCTCCTCCCGATCCTTCTATGGACGAGTAGATCTTGTTTTTGTTTTGGATCATCTTTGACCGTTTATTGTTAAAACATTTTGAATACATTGGGGATTATTTCTTGACTTGCTTGAATTTGTTTGGATATATGATTTGAATGTTTTATGGATTTTAGACTTAATATATATTGGTTTGGTTTGAATTTTCATTTTTGAGCTAAATATTTATTAATGTTGCATCATATTAGTTACATTATGACCAATTATCCATTACATTGTTTATGAATATTGTTTATGAAACTAATGGCTAACCTCTCTTTTGATCTTTGATCTTAGCAGCTTAAGCTATATTTGATTAATATGATTAATCAACTGGCTATGTTTTTCAAAGCCTTGTTTCACTTTGTTTTTGAGTCTTTTTTATTTAACAAAAAGGGGGAGAAATGTTAAGTGTTGAGAGTTGAAATATTTTTAAAAGGGAAAAGTGTTATAGTAAGGGGGAGTAAGATTTCAAACTTGAAACTTGATTTTTCAAAATAGTTTTTCAAAGAAAATCTTAAAATTACTCAAGTGTTTTGTTATATAAAAAAGGGGGAGATTGTTGAAAACATTTTGATATTTCGATATAACAAATTAAGTTAAATGAATTTTAAGATTTTACAAATGATTTTCTAAGTATATTCGATTGAATTAATCGAATATCAAATTATTACTCCAAGTTTTTCAAGATCAAATTCAAACCTTACTAAATGTGTAAAATTGTGTTTTATACTTAATATATTTTTGAAACAATTTTTTCACAAAGTATTTTGAACCAAAATCAAGCCTTAAATTCAATTATTCAAAGCCATGCACCGATGCATCAAACCATGCATCGATGCACTAATGAATTAATTGAACATCGAATGCATTTGATACATCGATATACATACCATGCATCGATGCATTCAGGGTTTTATGAAAACATCAAATGCATTTGATGTATCGACGCATAGATCATGCATCGATGCACTCAGACTTTTTCAAAACATCGAATGCATTCTATGCATCGTTGCACTCTTAGTACACCGATGCACTAAGAGTCCAACGATTAAAATATTTGAATTTTACATGTAACAACCCGAAATTTTGAAAATAATAATAATAATAATTAATTGAATTTGGAGGAGTTAATTAAGTAAATTGGTCAAATATGGGGACTAAATTAAAAGTTTTTAAAACTTATAGCTTATTTTAGAGTTAAAGGAAATTCAGGGACCAAACCCTGAATTTACCCAAGAAAAGTTGGTGAGGTTTGATATTATATACGGCAATTGGTTTCTGAAAAATCATAAACCAATTGCTCCTAAATAGCTTCTAAATTTCCTTCCCCCAACGTCAACTTCTGACAACGATCTCGACGCCGTTCGAATTCTGATCGTTATTTTGAAACCACCATCGTGTTTGTTATCGAGTCAAAAACAATTCCCTTAAATTAATTGAGGTGAAACACTGCTAAACGCCGTGAATTTCAAGTCAAAGCATCGACGTTTTGTTTAGCACAACCTCCTAGAAAATCCTAAATTCATCGTCGAACGTTGCTACGTTTACGACACCTCCCGCACCATCATGTTCCTTGTGTCATTCCGAGTCCGCCGGTGTCATCCTTGGTCTCTGTCGACGGCGGCGCGTGGGGGAGGTGAGACGGTCAAAGTTTTCGATTTGTTGAAATCGAGCTCTTCGCCGTTTAAAAATTTAAACCGATCTTTGTAAGTATCTTGAAATCGCTCAAAATAATTTTTAGAAAATTTTCCGTGAATTTTATGCTGCCAGAAATTATCCCACGCGTCGCCACTGCGCGTGGGCAAGCTCAAAATGACCTGTTTGACCGGTTTTGACCCGACCCGTTGACCTGACCCATTATCCGACCAGACCTGTTGACCCGACCTGACCCGTTGACCGTTGACCGGGTGACATTATAGTAATTAATTCTAAATAGGTGCTATTTAGTAATTAATTCAAAATGATGCTATTTTAGTAATTAATTCAAAATTGGTGCTATTTTAGTAATTATTTTAAAAAGGGTGTTATTTCTGTAAAATGGTTGACAGTTTGTTGACCTCCTTTGACCAAAACTTTGACCGGCTTTGACCAGCTATAAAACTATTGTTAATCTTTTCCGAATATACCTATCCTGATAGTTTTCGACATCCCAAATCCGTTTTTGGGGTCCGTTTTTCCAAATTCGAACCCAAAAGTCTTCAAATTGTCAGTCAAACCTGTTGACTTTGATTTTGACCAAGAATTCAAAATTTCGGAAGGTCATGCTTTGTGTTTTTCGACGTCTTGAATTTGATTCCGAAGTCCGTTTTGCCAAATTCTGACCCAAAATCCCCGAATCGAGCATGTGAAACCAAAAGGCTTAGTATTTTAATATTTTTATTTTTTTATTTAAGTTTTGGTTAAGGAATTGATTCAATAAAACATTTTATGAAGGTACTCGTGTTTCACCTGAGCGTGGATCAGTTAGGTCTGCAGTTGTTCGTTCGTCAGATCAACCTGAATCGCGTACTACAAGAATTACCCGTAGGTTTCCGTATATTATTTAAATAAAGATTATTTATATTAGGATTCCATTATGGATTTTTCCAATTCGTAGGATCTAGCGTTGCCGTAGAGCGTGATCGACAAACCCAATAATAGGCTTCCCTATCTGATTTTTCAGACTGTTACAGGTGTGTTTCATGACAATGTTATTTTACTGTTTTAAAAATATTACTTGAATTGTTTTAGATTGGTGATAATTCATAATATTGTTATGACATGATACATGATACTTGATTCCTGAATATTGATTTCCTGATATCTGATTTTTATATTTCGGTATATGGTTTTTTTAAAGCATGAATTATTCACCAATTTTACTTGAATACATACTTATTTATTACTGACATTGGGGGGAAATATTGTTGGAGGAAGAATACTTGCAGGCTCTTCGGCTTTGTGCTCAAGGCCTTACTGGACGTGACGGGGTGTATGGTTATGGGGAACTTACACATTTTGTTCATGACGGATGGGGGTAGTGTTCATATTTTAAATAAAACAAACATGTTTGATGAAATGATTTTACTGAAATATTTTATTAGTATGTTCTTTATACATTGTTTGAAGCACACTGGGTTTTTTAGCTCATTCTATAGTTTTACCTTTTTCAGATAGCAGCAGACCGTAAGCTAGCAGATTTGGCATCAGGGGAATCAGCTACTTAATTTGTACAAACGTATATATCTATATGTTTTTCAGTTGTGTTTGGTGACATGTATTTGCTATCGTTTTGGATATATCTGTATTATTTATATTTTGTTATATATTATATCTAATATATTATAAGCTATTTTTCTAAAAAAACAAATATCTGATTGGGATAGGTGACCACTTTGGTTTGGGTCTAACTTATAGACCGGGTCTGAGGGGTTACATTTGGTGGTATCAGAGCTTTCGGTTTTAAACACTCAGACTGTATATGGGTCCTAAACTTTGGATTTTTAAGAAATTTTGAAGAAAACAAATGTCACTTTATTTTATGATTTAAAGTTCTCTAGAGATCCCTGATGCTAATCTGACATGTGTTTAAAAATCTTTCTGTAAAGCCTTATAGATCCAACGATGAGTGCTGCTAGAAGTCGTAGGACAGGACGTGTAACATCCCAAATCAGGTTCAGTGACTAAATTGCAAATTTTAAAAATTATGTGCTCGATTTCGAAACAAGTTAAAAGTTCAAGGACTTAATTGAGAATGTTATTTAAGAGGATTATCAGGTAAATATTAAAAGAGTGGAAGGGTATTATGGTCTTTTTCCTTTAAAAGATATTTTCTCCCCTTTTATAAGAGTGAAAAGAGTGGGAAGAGAGCTATCTGGAAGCTTTCTTCTTCTTGCTTTCTCTTCTTCACGTGGGGCTTAGCTACAATAGGTAAGTTGGGTTTTTATAGTTATTTACTTTAAATATTAAGTGGATTTTGATTCTTTGGGTATTAAATAAGCTTAAGGAAAGCTTATATGGGATTTAAACAATAAGATAAAGGAATTAAGAAGGAATTTGTAATATGAGTTTTAAGATGAAATTTTGATATGGTATGGTTGTTGAAGTTTTATGGATAAATTTGATTTGTCATCAGCTTAATTAAGAAGTATTAAGTGTTAGAATGGGATTTGAAACATGTGGAAAATAGGGTATGATTCTCGAAATTCCTAAAGAGGAGAGGATATTAAGGTTAAAGATGAGATAAATTAATATTAATGAGTTTAAGTATGTATATGAAAGTTAGGAATATGAAAGGGGTTGAAATATGAAGGATTTAATCCAAAAAGAATAAATTTTTGGGTTCAAAAAGAGGTTCTGGGCAGAGTGCATCGATGGACATTCATAGTGCATCGATACATCAAGGTTAAAACCCATAAATCATTTGAAGGTGTATCGATGCACAGGAAGTGCATCGATGCACTCTTTTAAAATAAAAACATCAAATGCAATTAGTGCATCGATGCATAAGTAGTGCATCGATGCATCCCAGTAATAAACAAACATCGAATGCATTTTATCCACCGATGCATCAGTGGTGCATCGATGCATACCTTCATTAAAAGATAAAATTGCCTTTTCTCTTAGTCTAAATAGTGAATCATTAGAGTATATTAGTTATAATACTGATATAGATCTATGTATGATGATGTAGATATAGAACGTGATCCCGTTCCGGATTAATTGAAGGATTATAATCGAATCAAAGCAAAGCTAAGGTGAGTGCATATTCAATAGTATATGATGTGTGATGGGAATAAGACTTGTGATAAGTCTATTTCCTGAAGTGTTACATATGAATTCATGATTAAAGGCATGAGTTGAAAATGAGTGTATGTATGCTTGATTATCTGAATTGATATGTTTTTTATGTGCCATGTGGTTTATGTAAAAACACGATTAAGTGTTAATGAGAGAATATAAAATAAGTTATGAAATTATAGGAATATAGAAGATAAGTCAAGAGATGTAGGGAAATGGAAAATAGATGTTTATAAAGAGTCATAGGAGAACAAATATAAGTAATATGATAATGAAATATAAGACTATGTGAATACATGGTTATGAGATAAAATATGCAATAATAGGAAAATATGATGAAAGTGAGTTCATGAGAAGTGATATGAACTAGGTAAACATGGGTAACAGTATATGCATAATGGAAACATGAGTTGGATAAGTACATAGTGGTATGATTTATTATGAGAATTAATATAATAGAGCTGTTTGATTTAATGAGAGTAAAGGGAACTAAATAAGATTGAATTATAGAATGAAATGGAAATAGTATATCAATTAGGAAACATGAATATAAAGGGACGATACGAATATGCAAGATAAGTTATATGCTAAATATCTATGGAGCGATATAATTTATATA